GGACTGTAAATTTGACTTTTTAATAATAGCTGTTCTGACTGGTATGAGATGGTATCTCATTGTGGTTTTGATTTTCATTTCTCTAATGATCAGTGATGTTGGGCTTTTTTTCATATGCTTGTTGGCTACGTTATAATTCCTACCTGGTATGATTTGAATGTGTCCACTCCAAAATTCAGGTGTCAACAATATGATAGTATTAGGAGGTATTGCTTTTTTTTTTTTTTTTCTTTTTGAGAGGGAGTCTTGCTCTGTCGCCCAGGCTGGAGTGCAGCAGGCCAATCTTGGCTTACTGCAAGCTCTACCTCCCAGGTTCACGCCATTCTCCTGCCTCAGCCTCCCGAGTAGCTGGGACCACAGGTGCCCACCACCGCACCTGGCTAATTTTTTGTATTTTTTTTTAGTAGAGATGGGGTTTCACCGTGTTAGCCAGGATGGTCTCAATCTCCTGACCTCGTGATCCACCCACCTCGGCCTCCTAAAGTACTGGGATTATAGGCATGAGACGCCCAGCTAATTTTTTTTTATTTTTAGCAGAGATGGGGTTGCACCGTGTTAGCCAGGATGATCTTGATCTCCTGACCTCGTGATCTGCCCGCCTCGGCATCCCAAAGTTCTGGGATCACAGGCGTGAGCCAACGTGCCTGGCCAGGAGGCATTGCTTTTAAGAGGTGGTTAGACCATGGGGAATCCTCCCTCATGAACAGGATTAGGTGCCCTTCTAAAAGGGCTTGATTACCTTTAATGTGCCCTTTTTTGCTCTTCTAGCTTCTGCCTTGTAAGAACAGTGTTCCTTCCTTCCGGAGGACATAGTGTTCAAAGCACCATCTTGGAAGTGGAGAGTAGCCCTCACCAAATGCCAGCATCTTAATCTTAAGAGTTCTTACCCGCCAGAACCATGAGGAATAAATTTCTGTTCTTTAAAAATTACCCAGTCTTTGATGTTCTGTTATAGCAGCACAAATAGACTAAGATACTAATGTTTTGTGCCTCTCTAATCCATCTTTCACCTAGTAGCCAGAATGATCTTTCTAAAATGCAGACCTAAACATGTCACTCACCTGCTTAAACTCTTCAATGTTTATCCATTGCTTTCAGGATAAAATCAAAAATTCTTGGTGTGGCATGCAATGCCCTTCAGAGGTCTGGCCTCTTGTCTACTTCCTCAGAATCAGCTCCTGCCACTTCTCAAAGGGTACCTTATGCTCCAGCCAGTTCTAACTACTTACAGTCTCCAAAAGATTCATACGTTTTCACCTTTCTTGTCCTTTGGAAACTCTGTTCCCTCTGATTAGAAGACTCCATTTGCCCTTGCAATCTGTTTTATTTTCTACATGTTCTCACCTCAACCATTTTATGGTAAAATACATGTAACATAAAATTTACCATTTTAGCCACTAGGTACAATTTACTGACATTAATTACATTCACATTGTTGTGTAACTATTACCACTGTCCATCTCCAGAAAATTTTCAATATCCCAAACTGAAATACTGTACTCATTAAGCAATAACTCCTCATTACCTAACCTTTACCCTCAACCCCTGGAAACAACTCCTATATAGTTTTTTTTTTTTTTTTTTTTTTGAGACAGAGTCTCTCTCTGTTGTCTAGGCTGGAACGCAGTGGCACAATCTTGGCTCACTGCAACCTCTGCCTCCCGGGTTCAAGCAATTCTCTGCCTTAGCCTCCTGAGTAGCTAGAATTACAGGCACCTGCCACCATGCCTGGCTTTTTTGTGTGTTTTTAGTAGAGACGGGGTTTCACCATCTTGGCCAGGCTGGTCTTGACTCCTGACCTCGTGATCCACTCGCCTCGGCCTCCCAAAGTGCTGGGATTATAGGTGTGAGCCACCACACCCAGCCTCCTATATGTTCTTCTTAAGGCTCTCCTAAAAACATCATCAGCTTCCTGCCTCCCAAGCTGAGTTGAGGGTTTCTCTCCTCTGCTGACACGGTAGTCTATTGCAGTGCTTGGCATTTTGCATTGTTCATGTTACCTTAAACCTCTACTTCCTCCCCCAAACTGTGAAATTCTTAAGGACAGGAACCATTGTCTCAATCTCTGTATATCTTTGGGTGACAATGTTTTACACCAAATGGCTGATAAATGCAAGTCATCAAATCAGCTCATTGCTTTTGAATCATCTAGGGAGCCTTTAAAAACAGACGTCTAGAGATTCTGACTTGAGGAAATCTGGGGAGGGACTTAGGAATCTGAAATTTTGGAATGCTCTCCAGGTAATTCTGATTACATGCAAGCAAGCCATCAAGATTTGGAAGTAAAGTCGATCTAAAAGACTATGCCCAAGTAAGAAGGTCTTTTTATTCTTGATGAATCATGAAAAAGAAGCCAATTCATTTCTCTTGATTTTCATACTATTTCTGAGTCTCTAGCTTTAGGGAATTACAATAAAGAACTCAAAATCTCTTAGCAATGATTTTTCTGAGCCATTCTCCTTGCACTAAGAGTTATAAAATGAAGACATGTCACTTCCATATTTTTTTGGAGCGGGGACAGGGTCTTGCTTGCTCTGTTACCCAGGATGAAGTGTAGTGGCGTAATCATGGCTCACTGCAACCTTTAACTCCTGGGCTTAAGGGAGCTTCCTGCCTCAGCTTCCTGAGTAGTTGGGACTACAGGCCCATGCCACCATGCCTGGCTAATTTTTAAAAATTATTTTGTAGAGAAGGGTCTAGCTTTGTTGCCCAGGCTCGTCTCAAATTCCTGGGCTAAAGTGATCCTTCTGCCTCAACCTCCCAAAGTGTTGGGATTTACAGGCCTGAGCCACCACGCCTGGCCTTCATTTCTTTGTTGACTTACCAAAGTGCTTTCAAATTTTCCTCCAACAACCCTATAAGGTAAACTATCAGATCCAATCTGCTTTTTTATGTTTATGTTTATTTACTTATTTTTTTGAGACGGAGTCTTGCTCTGTCTCCCAGGCTGGAGTGCAGTGGCGCCATCTCGGCTCACTGCAAGCTCCGCCTCCCGGGTTCACGCCATTCTCCTGCCCCAGCCCCCCAGTAGCTGGGACTATAGGCGCCCGCCACCACACCCGCCTAACTAAATTTTTGTCTTTTTAGCCATGTTAGCTAGGATGGTCTGGATCTCCTGACCTCGTGATCCGCCCCGCCTTTGCCTCCCAAAGTGCTGGGATTACAGGCGTGAGCCACCGCACCCGGCCCCCAATCTATTATATTACCATTTGCTTCGGCTTTATTACTCTTACCAAAGCCCTGCCATCCCAGTCGTTCCAGGGCCACTTGAAGTCTGTTTATTCATACATCAGTAAACATTTTCTCGAACACTTACTATGTGTTAGTCATTATTAGGTACCAGAGGATACAGCAGCGAACCAGTCAAAATTCCTGCCTGCATGGAGGTTACATTCTAGTTAGCAGGCACCTTCTCCTCGGGGTGCTTCCTGTAAGAATATTTTCCCTAGCCTGTCCTAGTCTGACTCTTCTAATCAGGAATTCCATCATTCCAGACCACCCTGATTAGATAAAGGGTTACATTTGGCCCGGACCGCACTATGTGGCGCTTGTCTGGTATGCAGCTGTTGAGGCTGTACATTGGCTTCATGTTTACATCTGTTCTCTGGGACACTGTGCAGCCGAATGAGTTGGGTGTCTGTCTCTGGAAGGACGATACTCCAGTCTGTAGCTATTTCTATGTCCTCCCACGCTTCATGAGTGCTTTTCGGTGATTCTTACATCAAAATAAGCCCAGTGGATAACCAGAAAACCTAGCAAAAACAACAACAACAACAAAAAAAACCAGGGAAAACAATTTCGTAGAACTACGTTAAACAATGTCAGAGCTAGAAGAAACCTTCGAGATGTAGCCCCACTGCCTTTTATAGACCAGAAAACTGAGACCCAGAGAGGTTACCCAAGTCGCCTCCGGTCACACAGCCCAACTGAAGAATGTGGACGGGTGATCACATCTAATTTACAATCACACCGGGGGTGTTCCTCCTAAAATTTAACGTCTAAATGAGATTCAGCCGCGTCACTGCTTCAACACCACCCCCCCGCCCACACACACCGTCCTAATATTCATTCTACGTCGCTTTTTCTTGAAGAGTCAAGTCGTTAAAATACCAAGTGGAGGCATTCCACAAACAGGTGTCCACACCACGGCCACGCGGACACGGAGTCGGGGAATCTGGATCCCCACATGCCCGCCGAGAACTCTCCAGCTCCGGCTTACAAAGTTTCCTCGCATGGTACGTTCATCTTTGCGATCCCTGGCTGCGAGGCCGAGATGCCGGCTGCTGTGGCCTCCGACGAAGTTCGGAGATGCCCTTTCCTTGCGAAAGCTGGGCCCGGTCGCGTCAGCCGCAGGGTCTGGCGTCCTCGGGCCTGGCGGGCT